GCTTGTTGTTAGGTACCATCAAGTCAATTTTGACGCATACCAACCCTATATACAGCAGAACAAATGACTGCCCAGCTTTGTGTCATCCTCACAATTGTTGCTATACTTGAAACCATCAGTGCAGCCACTTTGTCAATGTACCTCGTTGAGGGATTTCCTCTTTCTCACTGACCGTCTACTTCACCAAGCATAATATCGTTCTCCAGGGTCAGGTCCTTCCTGATAACATAACCAAAGTGTGAGAGATGAAGCCTGGCCCTTCTTGCTTCTAAGGAGCATTCCAGCTTTACTTCTTCCAAGAGAGATTTCCTTGTTCTTCTGGTAGTCCATGATATGTTCAATTCAACACCATAATTCAAAGTCGTTAATTCTTCAGTCTTTCTTATTCATTGTCAGGCTTTCACATGCATATGAGGCTATTGAAAATGCCATGGTTTGGGTCAGGCACATCTTAATCTTCAAAGTGATATCTTTGCTCTTTGACACTTTAAAGAGGTCTTTTGTAGCACATTTTCCCAGTGCATTTTCATAGAACAGAGGGATAAAAGAAGGCATTTACATAGAATCATACCTACTCCTCACTTAGTAACTATCTCATTATTTGACATTTCACATTTACAACAATAGTGAGAAAAAAATCTGCTACCCAACTATTTTGTGCATTAACAATGTACATCTGGCAGTAATGAATGTGAAGTGTGGGACAAGAGTAATGCTGGCTGTGGTGGTTAATCTTTGTGTCAACTTCACTAGGCCATGATCCTCATTGGCTTGGCAGTTATATAATAACATTATTTGGCAGTTATGTAATGATATAGTCATCCTCCACTTTGTGATCTGATGTGGTCCTCCTCTATTTTCACATAACGTGAATCTTCACATAATGACCTGGTCTTGGAAATTAACCATGTTGATAAGTGAGGAGTGGGTGTATTTCCATGTTCTATGTATCTTATTCATAACGAAAATTCAGAACAAAATGAAAAAAAATGAGTTTTTAAATAAACTAAGAGGAGAAGTTCCAAAGTAACAAGTTATTTTATGGGGAAAGAAATTAGCTTAACATGTATTTGTATTTTAAAATATAACAAGAATACATTTATTTAAAAAAAATTAAGCAGTGACATTTATATTTAACTTCCACTTCCTACAACAGTTGCTCAAAGAATCTCTATGGAAGATCAGTGATACAGCCTGGACCATACAACTGAGTAGAGATTTCAACCATCAAATGGCAGGTTACAGCAACATCTCCACTGAGAAGGTGGGTTTTTCAGTGAAGGGACCTTATTTTCTACCTTATGACCTAAAATCGCTGCTCAAACTCCACATTGTTGGTACTACAACCAAAAAGAGGGAGGAATGGTTAGAAAAAGAATGTCCCTCCTTTTAAGGCCACTTTCTGAAAGTTGTATACTACTTCTGTCAACGTCACATTTGGCCAAAACTTACTCAATTGGCCACACCTATATTCAAGAAAAATTGTGAAGTGTAGTGTCTGTAGGATAGGTGTGCCTGATGAAAACTGAAGGATTCTGTTCTAAAGGACGGTGAAGAATGGATACTAGAAGGCAAGAGCAGTTCCTGCCGTAGCACTGGTTTAATGTCACTTATGTCATGGTTTCCTTGTGCAAGTCTTATGAGACTGTCTACCAAAAATAATTTAACAAAAACTTAGAGCTAACACAATCCTTAAAGGTCATTTCTTCAATTCCTTTATCTCCAAATGGCCTCTATATATCTGTCTGCATTGTAGCCATTCATTGCAATTGGGGTTTGAATCCAGTTTCTTCTATTTACCTACTTATGTGTCTTTGTTGTTGTTGTTGTTGTTGTTGTTGCTAGTTACCATGGAGTCAATTCTGACTCATGATGACCCTATTTATAACAGAACAAATGTTGACTGGCCCTGTACCATCTTCATGGTTTGTTTTTTAGTCCCTTCTTGTGACTATTGTGTTAATCCATCCTATTAAAGGTGTGGCCTAAGACACTTGACTGCTAACCAGGAGTCTGGCTGTTCAAACTCACCAGCCACTCCTTAGAAGGAAGGTTGAGCAATCTACTTCCATAGTGATACTGCCTTGGAAACCCAAGGAGGGGTCACTGTGAGTTGGGTCTGACTCAACAGCACATAACAACAACAACAACACCTTTTCATGGACCTGCTACTTTACCAAGCATGATAGCCTCCTCTATGGACTAATTTCTCCTGATAACATGTGCAAAGTACGTGAGATGAAGTCTCACCATCTTTGCTTTTAAGAAGCATTCTAGCTATATTTCTTATAAGACAAATTGCTTCATTCTTTGGAAGTCTATGGTATGTTCAATATTCTCCATCAAAACCATAATTCAAATGCATCAATTCTTCTGTGGTTTTCCTTATTCACTTTCCAGCTTTCACATGTATATGAGGTGATTGAAAATACTGTAGCTTGGGTCAGGTACACCTTAGTCATCAGAGTGACATCTAAGCTTTTAAAAACTTTAAAGAGGTTTTTGCAGCAGATTTGCCCAATGCAATACACCATTTGAGATCTTGGCTTATGCATCTATGGTTGTTGACTGTTGATCCAAGTTAGAATGAAATAATTGACAGCTTCAATTTCTTCATTTTTCATTATGCTGTTTATCAGTCAAATTGTGAGAATTTTTGCTTTCTTTATGTTGAAATGTAATCTATACTGAAGTCTCATCTTTGACTTTCATCAGTAAGTGATTCAAGTCATCTTCATTTTCAGCAAGCAAGGTTGTGTCATCTGCATAAATTGTTCACAAATTTTCCCAAAATTCTCATGTCACAGTGTTCATCATATAGTCCAGCTTCTTGGATTATTTGTTAAGCATCCAAATTGAATTAGTAAGGTGAAATGATACAATTCTGATGCACAGCTTTTCCACTTTTAAACCACATAGCAACACCTTTTTCTGTTCAAACAAGTACCTCTTGATCCATAAACAGGTTCTTCATGAGCACAACAAAATACTCTGGAATTCACCACTTGTCTATGAGTTTGTTACACTGTAATGGCTTACACATATGTGCCCTTAGGTAAATTATTTAACCTCCCTGAAGCCTAAAAGTTCTCAATTATAAAAAGAAGCAGTACGCATCTCTGAGGGTTGTTAATAGGATTCAATTAGATGAAATATATAAAATTAATAGTGAAGGGCTTGATACAGGCATGTGCTCAATAAAAAATAGCTTTGACAACAACATTCCTAAATGTGTTTTCCTGGGAAAACATTTCCCAAGTTCCAGTTATTCCAGTATTAAGTATCTCTTCATACAGATTATACATATCAAACTTTTACTCTTCTCATATTTTCATATTTTTCAAAATCTACCTCATTGATACACTCTTTGATTTGGAACAGACTACTGATTGTCCATATTGGTCTGTCAAGCCTACAGATACACCCTCTAGAAACATTTGGTGATCTTCTAATCATACAAGCAAGGCCTGTGCTTTTCATATAATACCATTGATCCAATAGCTTCCAGACCCACAACATTCCTTCAGGATAATAATGGAATGAGTAGGAGGAACAATTTAAGCAATGGTCTGCCTAGATTTCTCTGAACACTTACACTAAACATCAGGAAAGTAAAAGTGTATCAATTAGTTTTGCTGCATAGCAACCTACCCCAAAACCTACTGTTGTTGTTATTTTTATGTGCCCTCGAGTCAGATCTGACTCATAAAGACCCCTCCTTGGGTTTCCAAGGCAATATCACTATGGAAGTAGATTGCCCAACCTTCTTTCCAAGACTAACACTTATTTCGCTCATGGTTTGGCAGTTTGGGTTGGGCTCAACCGAGCAGTCTTATGATCTTGACTGGACTCACTCAGGTTGACTAGGAGTTAGCCGGTCTAGGATGGTCTAAGCTGAGACAGCTTATTTCTATTCCTTGTGGTTTCTATTCTTTCTGTTTCTTGCAGAGCTTCAAACTGGTTCATTCTGGTTCCTTCCCCTGCTGAGAATCAGCATTTCCACCCCATATATACTGAATCAGAATCTACACTTAACAAGATCTCCAGGTGATTCTTATAGATCCCCAGGTGATTATTGCAAATTATGAATAGATAATTATTGTGGGTAGAGCCAGAATGAACAGGTTCAAAGCCCTAGTTCCTCATGACAAACAAGCTGTCATGGTAGAGACAATGAAGCATTCAAGTCTCTTGAGGTTCAGGCTCAGAACTGGCACACAAACAAAGGCTTCATGGCCTTATTTTTCTAGTCATATAACAAGGACTTCCTCTTGTGAATTTCTTCCTTATTTCTCACCTCCACAAATATATAAATAAGTATGTAAGTCTATTACATTCTACTACTGGTGAAAATAAGTCACAAGGCCAGCCCAGATTCAAGGAAAATCAACTCCTCTCCTTGGTGGAAGTTATTGCAGAGTCCTATAGCAAAAGGAAGGAGTTCTGATGACACAGTGCATAAGGCATTTGACTGCTTACCAAAACATTAGTGGTTCAAACCCACCAGGCACTCCATGGAAGGAAGATGGAGCAATCTACTTCCATAAAGATTTACTGCCTTGGAAATGCAATGGGCATTCACTATGAGTCAGAATCAAATCAATGGCAGTGAGTTGTAGCAAAAGGAGGAGTTCTGGTGGTTTAGTGGTTAAGGCATTTGGCTGCTAATGACAATAGTTGGTGATTCAAACCCACCAGCTGCTCCATATGAGGCAGTCTGCCTCTGTAAAGATTTACACCCCTGGAAACCCAGTGGGGTCACTGTGAGTTGGAATTGACTTGATGGCAGTGAGTTTATAGCAAAAGGACATGGATAAAGATAGTATGGAAAACTTGTAACTATTTTTGCAATCTACCACATTTTGTCTTAGGGCTAGGTTCCTGATTTCTAGGATGCCTTGCTAAGTAACAAAGAAGAATATATTATACAGTGAGTCTTCACCAAAATCAGCAGAGAAGCAACTGGTTAAGAACATTGGGAGGTAGTGAGGGTAACCCTTTACATATAAGTTATATTTTTCTCTTCCCGATATCAATTCCTTTTCTGCAACACAACTTTTCCAGACTTCTACCCAGTCTTTTTTCAATGTACAATTACAACATATTTCAACAGGTTTGCCTCTAAATACTATTACATCAGTTGTATGCAGTTTTCCTCACTATAATTTTATTGTCATATAGTAGAGGTCTTTTACCTGGACAACAAAGATTTGAGTGGGAGATATCTGGTCAGAGTCTCGCTCTCTGTAAGGTTATTCTTGCTCTCATATGAGACAATAGCAACCAGTCCACCTGTTTTTCATCTTTTATGCCCCCCTTTCATCCTATCAGACTGATCTGTACAATTTCTCTTGTATACACTAATTTAACTTCATCTGTTTCTAATATTTCCTTTGCTCTGTCCCATAGATTCCCCTCTCATCAGTAATTGACCACTCAATAGATGGAACACTCTGAGCTCTGCAGAGTCCTTGGAGTAGATCTCCACTGGGCAGTTTTCTCTCCTGTATGTGACAAGATAGAGATTCTAAATAAAGAGATATCAACCTGATAATATATACTTGTAAATGATTTGAATCTTAGAAAAGAAATCAAGGCTTCATGACTTTATTTTTCTAGCCATATGAGAAGTACTTCCTCTTATGAATTTCCTCTTTGTGCCCTGTCTCCACAAGAATATAGACAAATATACACATATACCTATGTACATCCAGGCATGGACTGTGGTGTTCATGCAAACTACTGCTGGGCTGTCCCACTCCCCCAGCCACAGCTATAAGTGTTGTATGGCTTCCAGTGACAGAGAACAACAACCTGTATCCTACTTGCCTTTCCTTCCAAATAGGGCTGTTATTATGAGTCCAACATTCTCTACAACTCTAAGGGATATGGCAGCCATCAAATGTTTCCCCACATGCTCTCTCACCAATGTTCCTAATTTGAGATCTTACCCTCCCTAATTTAGTCAGTTCCTTACTTATATCACTTTCCTTGACCACAACCCTACTCTGAGCACTATTAGCCAACTCATCTTATTCCTGGAGAAAAATAACAGTATTATTGTTGTTTTTGTTAGGTGTCGTCAAGTTGTCTCCAACTCATAGCGACCCTATGTGCAACAGAACGAAATGGTCCTGTGCCAGCCCCACGATCCTTGCTATATCTGAGCCCGTCATGGTAGCCAGTGTGTCAATCCATCCTTCCCCTTTTTCATTGACCCTCCACTTTAACAAGCATTATATCCTTCCCCAGGGAGTGGCTCCTTCTCACAACATGACCAAAGTAGGTGAGTCAAAGTCTGGCCATTCTCACTTCCAAGGAGCACTCTGGCCGCACTTCTTCCAGGACAGATTTGTTAGTCCTTTTAGCAGTCCACGGTACTCTCAGCATTCTTCACCAACACCACAACTCAAATGCATCAACTCTTCTTCTGTCTTCCTTATTCATTGTCCAGCTCCCACATGCATATGAGGTGATTGAAAATACAATAGCTTGTGTCAGGCACAACTTAGTCTTCAAGGAAATATTTTTGCTCTTCAGCACTTGGAAGAGATCTTTTCAACAGATTTGTCCAGTTCTATACATCATTTGATATCTGGACTGCTGCTTCCAATGGCGTTGATTGTAGAACCAAGTATTATGAAGCCTTTGACAACTTCAATCTCTTCTCCATTCCTCATGATGCTGCCTATTGGTCCAGTTGTGAGGATTTTTGTTTTCCTTTTATTGAAGTATACTCCATACTGCAGACTGTTATCTTCAATCTTCATCAGTAAATGGTTCAAGTTATCCTCATTTTCAGCAAGCAAAATTGTGTGATCAGTGTATCATAAAGTGTTAATGAATCTTCCTGCAATCCTGGTGCCACTTTCTTCTACATATAGTCCAGCTGCTCAGATTATTTGCTCAGCATACAGACTGAATAAGCATGGTGAAAGAATACAACCCTGACACACTCCCTTCTTGATTTTAAAACATTCAGTGCCCTCTTGTTCTGTTTGGAAGAAAATTTCTTGGTCTATGTATAGGTTCCTCATGAGCACAATCAAGTGTTCTGGAATTCCCATTCTTCTCAATGATATCCACAATTTGTTATGATCCACACAATCGAATGCTTTTGTGTAGTCACTAAAACACAAGTAAACATCTTTCTTCTATTTATTTTCAGCCTAGATCCATCTGA